TCAAAAGGAAAGCCCATGAATTTTAAACAGAAAGCAGGAAAGCGTCCAGAATATGAGTTCCTCTGTTCTAGCAAGAAGATCAGTTAAGCAGGTGCAGTACGAAGTGTAGATGTGGTGCTTAGGGACATGGTTTAGTGGTGGACTTGGCAGTGTTAGGTTAACGGTTGGACTTGATGATCTTAAAGGTCTTTTCCAACCTAAATGATTCTATGAAGATTTGATTCAGTTATGCATAGCACAGATGAAGAGAAAGACAGTATCTATTCAGGTAGAAGCAGATGGGAGAAAAGAAATATGCAGCACCTGCAACTCATGTAATATACACATATTCAAGGTTCGCATCCAGAGGAGGTGGTCTCTGTGGGGAATAAATAAAAAATGTTAGAGCAGTATAGGCTGTCATCATAAGCCAATGACAAGAAGATGGGAGTCAAAGGGAGTTGAAAGAAAAACCTTCCATTTAGCAAGTGTGATTTACCCCATCACTGCACTCCACTATTTCAAGTCCCCTACTCACTGCACACGCTTATACCTCAGTTGGTACAATCACAGCACACCAAAGCTGCTAACATATTTGCAAGGTTGCAGTCTAGTGCAAGGTTACACTAGGTCGGCTCTAAGAGGTAGGGGAACTCAGGTAGGTAAAGATTTCACTTTTCAAATGAACAGAGGTTTTAGCTGGAATTGACCCTTACAGGAAAGATGAGCCTACAAGAAGACTTAAGAAAGTACCTGGCATTGCTAGGCTTCCTGGGAAACCAGGGGCTGAAAGGCATTTGGGAGAATGCCCATCTCTCTCCACGTGAGAAGAGACAAGTTCTTTCAGAGCCCCAGTTATCTATGATTATTCACCTTTAATGAGGCCTTCCAGATCTCTCGCTTCCTTACATTTCCTTGCTTCTGACCTTATGGCATAAACTTTTGGTTAACAGGGTTTCCTCTAATAACATCCCTACGCTCTTCCTGAAGACAGGCACTTTTTCCCTCTGCATTTCAATGGAATCCTTGCCATACCCTCCATTTGATGCCTCACAGTTTCTGCTGGCAGAAGTCCCCGCTGTTTTATGTGCCTTCCCCTGAGCTTGAGCTACCTAGGCTAGAAGATTAAGGTGCCCGTTCACAAGGACCAAATCTCTGGGTCTAAGCATTAATCTGGTGGAACGCTGCATGTTCAGGAACCGGACTGCAGTTCTCACTCTGGCTCTGCCTCAGACCCGCTGTGTGACTTTGGGCAGGTCATTTCTCCCATCTGGCTTTCTCGGTTTCCCCATCTGTAGAAAAGGCCAAGCCTCATTATTCCTCCCTATATAAAACATCCTGAGATCTACAGCAGACAAACTGTATCGAGAGCCAGGCACTATTATTATTAGAGCTCTGGTGTGCTAAATAGATGCTGGCGAGAGACACTAAAGCAAAATAAATCCTAGGGCAAGGAAAGCAGACAGAGCAATAAAGCACAAAAATTGAAGAAAGAAGGGGGAAAAAAAAAATCTAGTGAAAACCAGAGTACAGCACTGGGCCACTACTCCTGTGGTCTAAGTATATATGGAAGGATAACACTATTTTGAAGCAGTTCTACAAATCCAGTGGTCCATCCTCTCAGTCTTTGTGTCTGTAGAGGCCTGTAGTTTTGGTGAGTCCAAATTGCTGCTCCTAACTCCACACATAGGAAAGACTTTTTGTATGGTTTGGCTTATAAATGTGTTGACTGACTACAGCCGTGCAGCTCAAGTAGGCAAGGAGATGCTCTATCACCTTTCAAGATCAGCCAGGATTATCCCTTCTCCAGCTGGGAAAAGCAGCCAGTAAGAAATGAAAAGCACAAGAAAGCTTGGATGCAGACCTGTAGGACAATTAAGTGAACTTAACTAATATTTATAAAACTGCATATGTAGTGCTTTAAAAAGGAAGATCAGCACAGCATTACAGCATCATCAAGAGATAACTGAGGCTCTGGAATCAACATAGTTATATGCCTGTTACTCTACAATGCTACTGAGCAAGCAGCAATTGCGACCCATCTGTCAGTGTGTCCTTTGCTGTCACAGGATCCTTGCTTACAGAGACTACCACGTTCTGCTCCTTTCCATTATGGATGAGGCTGGAGTGTCCCTGTGATTCTTCTGTATAGGAGTTACAGTGCCCCTCTAACCAGTTTTCATTATATCTCTTAAGCAAAGAGCAGCTTGTATCTTGGGATTAATATAAAAGACGACAAAAATTCAAATTCTGTCTTTGCAATTCCTAAGAAACCAGTCACCTTTGCTTTCCAGAGAGTAGCAGAAGCTCAGAGTGTATGAATTGGCTTTTGAATGTTTGGAGTGAGAGAGCTATGAGATTGGCTGTGCCTGCACAGAATGGGTTATGGTATGAATGCAGGGTCATACATTGCCTTTGGTGGATTTCTTTTCCCCTTGCTGTTTGAGTTTTCAGTACCATCTCTTCCTAACGCTGTGTGCAGCCTTGTTTCTCAGCTAAAAGGATTTTCTTTTTTATTTTTTAGAGCCTGTTTGATGAGTGATATGAACTGCCAGTGAATACTACATTTCACTCCCCCTCATTAACATTGTAAATTAATTTAGGACTCATTTAGATGCAGGATTAACAACCTGAGGACTAATCCACTTCTTATTCAGAGGACATATTTAGGATGAGCAGTCTTTCGTCTCACATCACTCAATTAGTTAGCAAGACCATCTCTTGGGAATAAGATGATATTTCTGTCTCTCTGCTTGCAAAGGAACTGTTCAAGGTTAAGGCAGAGGTCTGGAGACATCAGTCCTGGCCTCAGCTCTATTGTAGACTTCCTCTGCAACCTTGGTCAAACGCTTTTTACACTCTGCAACCATTTTCCCCAATTTACACATCTAGAGAGGTCAGACTTAGAGAACAGATAAAAGATTAAAAGTAGTGTTTATGAAGGTTTAGGCCAGCGTGTTTTATTTCACCAGGGTTAAGGGTACACGGGCCATGGGCCAGCTGCCAACACAGAAACTTGTTAAGCTGAAGTAATACATTTAATAAGTTTTCAGTCATGTGCCCCTACCCTTACTTACGTGGAATGGTGTTTTATTTTGTGAGCACTCTTTTCCTGTGATGGCACCGTGATTAATACACTATTATGTACATTGCAGGGGCAAAGTCAAGCCCTCAGTTTTCAGATCAGCAAAAAAACCAAGAGAAAATGTTGCTTTTCTTAAAGCAACAGTTATCAGTTACAAAACTCTTGACACAGCAGCAATCGTGCAATATCTCAGTGATGCTGTTTTCAGATGCCCTGTACGTTTGCTAGAGAAATAAATAACATTTCTTGCAATTAACAAATGAAATGCCCTGTTGGAGCTTAGCTCTTACTTGCCGTCAGCAATTCATCTGCAGAAGGATTTCATCCACTGAGGGGAATAAAGATTAAATATATGCTTTGGCAAGTGTCATTTTCCACCAGAATATTTTCTTGAAGGCACTGCATGTCTCATGATACGTTGAGGACCTGTTCCTCTGAGGACAATAAATAAATACAAATAATTGCTGTAGAAAAGAGCCTGACGGAAAACCAGTGTCACTTTGGGCATAACTGATTGATGCTACTTACAATCGGTAACACTTGTAAAGCTCAGGCCTGGACAGCTCTGTTCTGGACATGCACTGCACACATCAGATTAGCTGAACTCTGCCATCCCACAAGGAGAGCATTTTTAAAGCCCTAATACAAACTGTTATTAATTGTTTGTATTGCAACATTACCAAGAAGCTGTAACCACAGATGAGGACCCTGCGGTGCCACGGGTTGCAGAAAATAAAAAGGAGGAGATACTGCAGTGGTTCACATAGTCTGAAAGCAAAGGCCAACTGACGGAGCTCCAGAACATTCTCACCTCTAGTGTGATCATAAAGAATGAATGATTTTATACACTTTATTGTTGGCTACAGTTTCACAGACAAGGTCCTGACGTGCATTTGGTATCCACTATGACAGCATAAGAAAAAAAACATGGAAAAAAATGACTTTCTGGCACACTATTTCTAATCCTAATTGAATTCTAATTTTTTCTGAAATACAATTGTTCCACTGTGGTTCCCTCAAACAGATGACAATGCCAAGACAACCACAGCACCACAAATCTGTGACTCCAACTAATAATCCTGTAGGAAGTTTCCAAACCAGACTGTTTCTCTCCTTAAAATACTGCATTTGGTCTCTGGCTAGTCCTTTCAACTCTCCATGAAGATCAAATGTGCTGTCATAACTACATGAGACTGCTACTCAATGTCATCAAATCCAGCCCATTGACAAAGGCACTCCTCTAAACCACCTCAGGACTAGAGGCCAGAAAAGATGGGTTTGTGCTGAGGTTGTACAGCTCTGTCTGCAGGTGTCTGCAACATTAAAATGTCTGCTACGTTAAAAGGACATCACAATTGCAATAATCCTTCTTCCTTAAATACAAGGAGAGAAATGTCTGAAGCTAACAGCACCAAAATCACAGGGATATTGTTAATCCATGAGCTACCTTGAATGCAATGATTGTTAGCCTTTCCTGCAGTTTTCATCCTCAGGTACTTGTCCTGATGAGTTTTACATTTTCATGCCACACTGTACTCCAAATTACTGTACAGATTCTCTGTAGAGCACATGAAGGGCATCATACATCACACTTATTACCAACCTACAGAGAGTTAAGAGAAGTGAGAACCACAGGATCCTGCTGTTAGTTCATCATGAGTTTTCTGATCTGGGGGAAGTAGCTGCCTCGTATTTGAATTTAGTTGTCATTAGGTTTGTTTGCTTTTGGCCCATTCTGCACTCAAGCCACTCCGAGCCCTGATCTCCTGCCCACCAGCAAATCAAAACCAAAAAAACCCCCTCATGTTCACTCATCTTCCTAGTAAGAGTATATTTCACAGCCAATGTGCTCAAGGGCCATAACTGAAGAAATCTGAAAGCACCCTTCTGAGAAGAGGAAGGTTACAAAAACCAGCAAGAAAACAAATACTCTTACCTGTCTGTAATAAGCCAGCCCCACTGTCTTTGACTCCAAAGTGCTGCTGGATGTCTAGTAACACACCTGCAAGGAAAACAGAGACAAGAAACTCAGTGCCTTCAACCTTTGAAAAGCATATAACTCAAACCTTTTGTGAAGCATCAGCAAAGGTTCAAATTCCAGTAGTTTAGACACATAACTTCTAAAGTTTGCACATTGGTTTCTTTTCTGAACATGTACACTCAATAATTTTGCACTACTACAATAAAAGCAGAGGTAGGTAGATACAACATCATGCAAAGAGTTTGGGAATGAAATCTCATGCATGAGAAACTGATCTTTCCTTTCTACTTAAATAAGATCAGGGTTTTCTTTTTGTTTGTTTTCTGCAGAATCCAGATCCCTTACTTCTGTTATTTTACAGAAATACAGAGAAACTGATGCTGTGCCTTAGGTGCTTCAAATCATTCGACAAGACAGACAAATTTAATCCAAGACAAGTTTTAACAAATCTCTGTTGGAAGGAGATATGACACATCGATAGGACCAGTGATGGAAGTTTTCACATTTAACTAGTTCTGGGGGGTTCTCATTTCCAAAACAAATGTAGAAAATAAACTTAAAATAGCTTAGTAACGGTGGGTAAGTGACCACATGTTTAGCTTTAAAGCAACTACAAGCAGAACCAAAACCAACCTTCTCTCTTCCCTGAACCCCTAATATACTAATTGGCATAAGCAAAATTAACGGTTTTGTAGTATGTACATATTCAGCTAGATTTAGCACTTGGGTATCAAACATATAAATACATGTAATGTCAGGTACATATGAACAGGCATGCTTTTGTAACCAACTAGCCAGTGAAAACACAGAAGACAGCTTTTATAACTCATCTTGGGGGACACACATTTGCCAAGCTGCAGATTGTCCAGTTCTGTCAGATACAGATCCATAGGCCTGAACATTTGTCTATGGTCGAAACAAACTGTGCTCTGACTTCTTGGGTCTGGAACAGAGACAGTTGCGCTCTTAATATCTGGGACTTCCTTATTTAGCCTACTGTCTGCCCCAAAACTGAGGATATGCAAGTTTCTTTTCTTAAAAACGAGAAACACCATTCTCCAACTATACTGAACATCTATAAAAGTTCACCTACAGTTCAAAATTTGATCGAAGGCTTTATCCAAAGTGATTCTGCTCATCACTGTAGGTCATGGGAATCAATTAAGCACCAACCTGAACTCACTCACCATAAATATCTCAGCTTCTGGGACTGCCAGGATCACACTAAATGACAAACACAAAGAGATAAAAGACCCAGAGATAACTATTCCCAGAAGACATCTGGAACAATGCCAAGAAAACGGACATAAATTAAAGGTACTAAAGAAAAAAAAAGATACAGAGAGGAAGGAAAAAGCAAGAAAGATCATTTGTCCTATTCCATATTACTTGTACATCACCAGTTACTCAGGGCAGCATTCAGGTTGGCTTTTAGAGTACCAATATCTGCCCAGTAACATTAGTTCAGCCTCATACCTCCTATAACAATCCCCTCTTCCTTACTCTATCAGACTGTTTAGCCCCAAGCAGAGAAGGCTCGGGGTGGGGAAGGGTGTGAACCTTATCAATGTGTATCAGTACCTGATAGGAGAGGGGGTAACAAAGACAGAGCCAGGCTCTTCACACTGGTGCCCAGTGAAAAGAGGTAGAGGGCACAAACTGAAACACAGGAAACTCCATTTAAACATAAGAAAAGACCTTTTTACTGTGAGGGTGGTCAAACATTGGAACAGGTTGTCCAGAGAGGTTGTGGATTCCCCATCCCTGAAGATATTCAAAACCCAACGGGACATGGTCCTGAGCAACCTGCTCTAGTTGACCCCGCTTTTAGCAGGGGACTTGGACTAGATGATCTCCAGAGGTCGCTTCCAAGCTCGATTATTCTGTGAATCTGTAGTTTTATGAAGTATTAAGTGCCTGATTATATCCAGCCTGACACAGTTTTCCCCTGGCCTTTCTTTTCCTTTGGAGCATTGCTGTCTACTGTAATTCCAACAGGAACTTCTTAGCTTCCTCTTGGATGGCAGATTTGCCTCCATTTTCAAAGTGCCCTGGCATTTCTTGGCTGTCCTTCCCTCATTTGCTCCATTAATAACTGAGATATCATTATCCAGGCAATATCTGATGAACAAAAATAAATTTTGCATTTGCCTAGCAAAACCCTCTGTGGTTTAGATGACTTACATATTCCCCTTAGCGTTCCACCCTTTCACAAAAAAAGCGGTTTCTCTTGCAACCCAACCTAGAAACCTTAGTTAGCTTAACCAGCTCTGAACACCTTCAATTTGTGCTCCATTATTGGTTGGTCCCAGACTGCGCACATCAGGTGAAGCTTAGCAAGTCAGAACAACTTGCAGGTAGTATAATCCCAATTTTGTAGAAGATAAACCCATCAAAATTCTCAAGAAGAACTTGGAAGAAGGGAGGAAATACCAAATACAATGTTTTCTTATGCTCTCCTATCATCACTCAGTTGTGCTACACAGAAATGAAATATCCTACTAACTCCCTGCAGCTCAGCCCCAGACACTCCAGCTGGAGAAGCCAAGTCAGAGGGATCCAAGCTCCTTACTTTTACAGACACGTTCAATACAAGACTTAATCCAAGCAGGCACATCACTGGGTGGTCAAAGTGATGCCCATTCACCTCCTGATCCATGGGTAAATGGTTTCCCGGTGGATGCTATGTTCCTGTTCAGCCCATCAACTTGCAGCTTCTTTTATTTCAGTAACAAAGGGCTAAGTTTTGCACCCACCTTTCTTTCAGGATGGGGCTTCACCTGCCACTGACATGATGATAGCTTTTCATTTTAATAACTAAACTCTGTGAAACAGGCTACAAGTATATTACCTAAAGTCTGCAAAGAAAAACAAAGTAGTAAGGGACACTACAACTATACTGTTCCCAGCAAACACTCTAGTTAGGATGGTAACTGATGAAAAAAAATTTACCCTGAAGCTAGTGCAGACAGACAACCCTGATGTTGGTTTCATGGTAGAAAACTCTGTGCTGAAGTGATCACCAAGCAGGATTCATACCTTCTAAACTAGCAGGTGCACGAGGGTCACAAGCAAGCCAGTAACAATCTCACCTGTGCAAGAAGCAAAATGGCACAACCTGCTGTCCTGCCACAAGATACCAAAGGGACTGATTCAGCGATGGGAAAGGGAGATTAAGAGCTATAGCCCTGCCTTATTGAAACTGTCTGAGGAGGCAGATCCTTTGAGCAGGGGGGTTGGACTAGATCATCTCCACAGGTCCCTTCTGGTCTCAACTACTCTGGGATTCTGTGCTCCTAATCCCATGATGGAATACACACGCACGTCCAGAGCTTCTTCCACCACCCTGAAAGGTGCCTGCCCTGCCTACAGCAACATATCCCCAGCCATGCCAGAATGCCAGGGAGGCACATTAAACCACCAAAAGTTACAAGGAGCAGGAGCTGGGGATGTGATGGAAAACATAGCCTCAGACAGAAGAATTTTTTTGGATTTGCATCAGAAACCAGAACAGCAAGTGCAAGGGATTATAATGGTGCCTACACAGTAAAGCAGATGAGGTCTTCCAGTTTATTACAAAGAAATTATCTGTCCAGGGACAACGGCTTTACAGTTCTACAGTGCTTTTTTCCACAAGAGCTCATAATGTGTTTTACAAGCTTGAACTACTGTAGCCACAAATGAAATACATTTAGGGCACTGAAGTGCAGCCATCTTGGATTGAGCCTACAACTTTATTCTGGTGGTGGAGAGAGAAGTGGGTTCTGTGGATAGTGAATGCAACAGGACAATATAATTGTGGTTCTATAAGTCCTGTGTGAGCTTGGAAGAAGATCTCAGATGATTAAGAGAGATCTGCATGTCTAATTGGCATGAATTTCCTACTCCAAGTCTATTTCATATTCTCTTTGGACTACAGGTGTTTTGGTATGGGATTTAGAGCATTAAACTAGAGGCAGCAGCAAGCAGATGATGCAACACATCTATGAAGTGATACGAGTTTCTCTCTGCTGTGGGAGTTTTCCTGCTCAGCACGGTCACATGGGAAGACACTACTCCTCCTCTCTTAAATTTGCTCAGGTCTGTTTCCACCTCACCACGGCAATGACTCAGCCCAAACTTTAATAAGATTTAGGGATACAATTAAGCAATGATAGACCAGGGGAGAATACAGGAAAATGATAGAGCTTTTGACTTTCCCTTCTGCTTCTAGATGATGGGAAGGCAGAGATAGCTGAGCCAGGCTCCAGACAATGATCATGTTGCTTGCAGAGATGTGCTCCCAGGTGTCTCACAACACCTGACGCAATCCAAGCAAGGGAAGCCACCACATGTGGCTGACTAGGCCTTTCTTGGATTAAAGTTCATACCTATGTCCCAGGAGGATCTCAAAATAGCCATGAGCAGCTAACAGGCACCACTCTTCCTGAGACAGCCTCTCAGCAGGGCTGATGGCCATTTGGGATGTCTTTATGATTACACGGCACACCTTAGTGCTCTCACCTATTATTTCTTAAGCACATTCGGCATTTTCAGGACTGAACAAACATACAGGAAACATGGTGCCAACCTTCCAAAGTATCTTACCAGCTGAACCAGATACTGTTAATGCTGATGTAGAGCTTGGAACTCAATGAGATGAAACATGGGCAATCAAGATGGGCACAGAGACAGGACTTACTGGGAAACCCAGACAGAGGAATGACTAGTTACTTCAGCCCTACCTAGGTCACTTTACTAGGCCTGCTGCGCTAGTGTCTAAGTACCTGACAAAGACACCAAGGCAGTTATTGGATTTTTGCGGGCACGAAGAGGACTTTTACGAGCAATTTGGAGGATAAAAGGTCTTTGGGTGTGGAGTGTTAGATAGGGAAGGAATGTCAAGTAAATGGGGAAGAGGAACATGGCTGACCTCATCCACTCACAGTGTCAGAGGGTTTCTAGGATCTAGTGCAGGATCCAGAGTACTGTTGCATTTTTAATGGCCATTTCACAGTGAATATAAAAGACCTGATTCTGAGGCTTTTGGAATGCAGGTCCACATTTAATGGCCTAAGTTATCTCTGATTTAGGGTAAATGCTTTGGGAAAGGCAAATTTTCCTGGAAGTGTGCAGTTCAGGCTTCAAACAGGGAGGTGGGTGGTACAGATCACACATGAGGCAAGCTGCTTGCCTAGATAGGCTTTGTGTTCCTGACCAGAGCTACAACAAAACGAAAGTTGCAGGACTGGAAGGTCATCTGAAATGGGGTGAAAAGATGCTCTGAACAGAAGGTCATCTTAGTACAGATGTTTCTTGTGTTAACCATCATTTACAGAACTACTGTGCAGAGTGCCTTCATTATCCTTTATATTTAAAAGAAACGCGGGCTCTTCACCTAACTACTGCTACCTGTATATATGAATAAAGAGTCACCATGGTAAGAAACCGTGTTCATAAGCTAAGCCACAATGAAATCACAATTTCAAAGCAAAAAGACATTAAAGCTTCCCTGGGAGAGTCCCATTTTCCACTCACCAAAACAAAACATCGTGATTTGATTTCAAACTGCTTCCCAGGCAGGTGCAAAATAGAGAGTTAGCCTGTGCACCGAGCACAAAGCTACAGAAACAAAGCCACAGGTTTTCAGCTCACTGAGCCTTGCATCAGTAATGCCAATACACATTCTTTAAACACTGCGTGTGCTGCAATACCATTGGCCAACATATCTACTTACTTAAAAAGCACATGCATTTTTAAAGGTATCTTTTAACGGGGAAAAATTATGGTGCTTGAAGGGAACCAGCACACAACTTTCCACACGATGCAGGCTGGGCACTGACAGCAATCATGTGTGCCCCCAGCACCCTCTCTCCTGCCCCACTGCAGCCCTGGACTTGCACTGATCTTTGGAGAAGCCTCAAAGGAGGTGGAGGAGAACCCACACTTATACACTCTCTTGGCTCCCGAAGAGCCAGAGCAGACTCTGTACTGACAACTCTTTTCCCTCCATTACCTGTTGCCGCCTACCTCTCCTCCTTTATCAAGGCATTTTCCTTCCCAGGCTATGCTCCCTGGTTCTTCCAGGACCAGCTCCCTCAGGTGGAGGTAACTAAGCAGGGATAGCCAAGCCCTGGCCTCCTAGCCATTAAAGGCACAAGCCACCTTCCTACTATCAAGCTCTTCCTCACGCCTGCAGCCATATTCAACCTGCTTCAAATAATGCATTAAGGAGACACAGGAGTGGTGTACACACCTGTCTGTTCAGAGACATGTGAAAAGACTAGGTGGAGAGAAGTTTATTCTGAGGTCTCTGTGATTTTATCTTGACTGCAACCCCAAGGTGTGACTGCAGTTCACATACAGATCCCTAAGCTTCAAACGAGCTGGCTTCAGCTCAGCCACCCACTAGCTATTAAACACAGGCTTCACAATTTGGACTCTATTTAAATACTCAGCTGCAGAAAACCACCATGGTAGCCCTGCTGATATTTGTACCTCAAGATAAATTCCCACTGCTACCAGAACTAGCAAATCTAGAACTAAAACACAGTACCACTTTCTTTGGATTGCCATGAAAGCATTCCCTGTCTTACATGCAAAAAGAAGCAGGCCTGGACTTTAAGTATTGCTAAATGAGTGGTGATGTCTTGCTTGAAAACATTGACAGGAGCTTCCTTAGGACATACTCACAGACTTGCCTTCTGCAAAACTAATTCCCACTGTTGCATGACATGACAATACGCATTGGTGAAACGGCCTTTGGTGTTGCAGGATTAAAAAGAAACAAACAAAACCAAACCAGCAACTAGACAAATCAAAACAAGGGTTTCCTAAGATCTGCTAACACTGGCACGCAAGAAACTTGTGACCTAGAAAGCACTGAAAAGTAACTGCCAACACCCACAGTGGCATGTTTGGAAAGGGGTTTCCCTGAGTAATAAAGTGGAGCACTGTGGAGAGAGAAATCCAGCACAGCAGTTCAAGCCAAAGATCAGAGCGAGCCAGGGTCTCGACGCCCAGCACTGCAGTCATTCACAGGCCATGAATCAGATGCTTAAAAATCTGCTAACAAAACCCCAGGGTAGGCAAGTGTGAGAGTTCAAAGCCTTCACAGACACTGATAGCCTCCCACTACCTGCACATACAGAAAGGTGACAGGGTGAAGGCTCGTCTCAGAAGGCTGTGTTTGAAATGGAGAGCAAACCCGTAAGGGCATACACCTGTAGCTCTGACACACAAGAGGACTTGCTGTTTACCCCAAGTAGCATTTTCAGTGGGCTTTCATTAGGATAGGTGCTGTACACTCTGCCAAGCGCGCTACTGCTTGGGAAACAAAATAAAAATTTCTGTCTGCTTTGTAGTGACATTCCTATTCTGAATCAAAAACCAGTATTATCCTCAGAGACTTGCACCACCTGTCACACCCACTTTTTCCATTCAATGTTTTTATCATTATTATACCACCAGTGAGGAAGTATCTGAGCTATTCATTCATTCCCAAAGGCTATTGGCTTACCTGCATGGCATGTAACAAGTAATTAAGCATTAGGAAAAAAAATAAGGAATGCAATTAACCAAGGGCTTGGGAGAAGAAAATATATTTAAAAACTTCTCCCTCTCTGGCAGGGGCTAGGTAGCAATAAATAATGGTTCCTCTAACATAGCTAGAACTCTACTGTAATGTTGTATGCAAAGCGCAAAATTGTCTGCAAGAGCGGGAGGGGATAAAAAAATGTTCATCAGGTGTAGAATCGATTAGCACAAGGCATCATTAACACAAGGTCAGGGCGTCTAGGCAAGGCAGCACAGGACAGCTAGTCCTGCTCAGAATTAAAAAAAAAAAATCAAAACAAAACAAATAGGAATTTGAATGCAACCGTGGCTGCCAAATGCTGGGTGCCTCACTGGCAAAACCACACCCTAATCAAATCCCTCATCTCCCTAATTACAGGGTAGGCCTGTTCCCAGGACTACAGCTGGGAAGGAAGCCCTTGTCAAATGGGGAACATGGGATACTTGGCCAACATGAGCCCAAGAGCTTAAATAAATTCCAAAACATGGAAGATTTTCCATTTATGATCCAATGCAACAACAGCTCTCACCAGTGAAACTGTAAAGTGACATGGGTCAAACCTGAGACTAAGCTCACAGTGTCACTTCGTTCTCCTTTCCACCCCTGCCATACAGCTCCCTATAAAGAGATCCTTAATTTCACCCCTGCTTCATCTCACTTTGAGACTCCTGCCTTAGCCTATCTTAATCAGCCTTGCAATTCTCACAAGCCAAAGACAGACTTCAATTAGAGATAAATGATGTGATTTGGCCAAAAGGACAGGCTAAAATGAATTGGCACCTAGACCTGAACTTAAAACCAAACTTATTCATTGAGACTTGGAAAGATTCCTTTATGTGGAATGGTAAAAATCAGAAGCTGTTACAACTTTAAACAACCAACAGAAACGTGAGTAGTAGCTAAGGTTTACGTCAGTCATCTGAAGTGACAGAAATCATTAACAGCTTTCAGATGAAGCTGGCCAGACCTTTCTCCCCTACCCAGCACCTCCATCTCAGGACTCACTTCAGACCCTCTTTCTAGTTTTTTAACTCACACAAACCAAGCAAGGCACGCTTTGCACTGCAATACCTCTGCTCTAACACAGAACGAAACACAATCTTTACTGAAGGAAAAGGCTACTCTTGTGACATTTTAGATCTAATCAGCAGCCTTAACAGATTTCCAGACCAAAGAGCAGAGCCTCAAAAAATAAGAACATTATCATTTCACTTATTCAAATCTTAGAAAATTCAGAGAGTCCCCCTGTTCATACTCTCCTTATGCATGCTAAAAGGTGGGCCTGCCACCAAATGCTCTAGTTGTCTTCTGGCTTTCTAATCTTTACAGAAGACTAATAAGTCTAGCTAATTCATGCAATGAAACATATCTCAGAGACTTTGTATATGAACTAATTAAAATAAATAAAAACAGTATAGATAATGATAGAGCAAATCAAGTGCATATGAATTCAGCCAGTGACTCACCACTCCCTTGTTTTCCTTATTGGAAAACCTGGCGTATCACCATACCAGAGTGACAATGAGTCAGGAAACTGGCATGAGCCACAAATTGCGAGGAAATTAAATTAAGTATCTACAACATCTCTTTTTAGAGAGATTTTGGAGATTTTTGCTGGCTTTGTACAGATGTGGCTATGGACTTCACAGCTGTATTCTCATGGTTTTCTGGCTAGACAAAATCAACAAAGGAAAGAATCATTTACACGTTCTTCTAGAGACAATACATAATGATTAGGCTCTTGTTCTCAGAATCAATTTGATGTCTTTACTTTTACATCTTCTTGCTTATATTTTAACCAAATACATTTGAAGCATACTACCATATCCTACTGAATGCTCGATAACACCTTATCTAGTAAATAGGCAGATATTACTCGCTTAGAACCAAAGTACATGCAAAGA